AAATAATTAAAAAAAAAATGATTTCAAAACAAAAAAACTGCTAAATACAATAAAAAAATACTTTGTTAACGGTAATGTAAACAACAGTCATTTATTTATAGTTCGCAGAGCCGCCAAAATATTAAAGCGGAACAAATGAATTACAATAGTGTACAAATCGTGGGAAGACAAAAGAAAAAATATATAAAAACAACAACAACGGTAATAAAATCAAATTTGAATATTATTAGTGATTTATTGTGTGTTGTATATGTACGTACAATTGAAACAAACACATACATATAAGTATTACATGTAACATAACATGTGCAGCCAACCAACACACATTACAACAAAACAACATGAAACAAACAACAAAACATCATAAAGCCACAAAAAAAAAATAAAAAGAAATATGGGAATAAATTTACATAATTAGAATTATACTAAAAAAAAACAAAAAAAAAAACAAATTACAAAACTGTAATTATAATTGAAAACTGTACCAACAAAAAAAAAAAAACGAAAAATACAAATAAAAATATACATATGTACATATATAATATATGTATTTAGACGATATATAACAGTTTTGACAACAACGTTTATTGATAACAACAATGACAAATGAAATAAATGAAACACAACAATATATTATACAAACATAACAACAAACACAAACACGAAGGCAAAAATAATAAGAAAATATTGCAACAAAACATATTTAACTGTATAGTTTATGTTGCTGATAACATAAAAAAATAAAAAAATAAAAAATAATAATAAACAAATCAAACTGTGAAAATTATATGCATACAAACTTTATCTTAAGTAAACATTATAAACGGATATTTAAAATTTCAATAAAAATTGTAAAATTACAAAATTATAAAACAATGCAATTTTATTTACGAGTTTATTAAAATATGGTTTCGATTTCTGTACTGAATTTGGCATTTTTAAATAAATTCCAGAAGTTCTTCATGCAATTTATAATTTTTCTTCAACATAAAGGGTTTACCAATAAGAGGGGTTACTACCCGCAAAGCCTACTATTTCGGTAATTTTTTCGACATTTGAAATACAACGCATTGAAATTATTAAATTTCACTATAAAAATTTCATCGCCAAATGATTTTGTCTGTTGAAGACCATTTCCGTCTCGATGGCTACACCTGGTGCTCGGAAAACCCAAAATTTATTCTTCTCTTTGCCCACCCTAATGATGCTTGTCGTAAAAAAAACGGGCAGGGTGGTCGCGCTACTCGAACCGGGGAAACCAGCCAACAAAGGAGAGTCTTATCGGCCGACAACTCTTCTTTCCCAAGTAGCGAAGACACTTGAGGCCATGCTGCTTCCGAACTTCACTCACCACTTGCGTCCAACAGCGCATCAGCATGGCTTTCGAAAAGTGCACAGTACCAAAACAGCATTAAATGCCATAAACACTCAGATAGTCAATGGCTTTAAACAAAACCGACCCCGCGCGCGAACTGTCGGATCTGTCAAAAGCTTTTGGCCCCGTTAATCATTCAGTGCTACGGACATCGAGGAATCCTCATTACCACCGGGGAAAAATTAAACAGGGGGTTCCGCAGGATATTGAAACTCTCACCTCCACCAGAAGGAGTTTCCCTAACCTCGTATGCCGAAGATAATGGCGTCTGGCCAGGATATTGATGACCTCTGTTCGAAAGTGAACTGCTACCTTGCCGATCTTTCTCACTTCTTCACTGCATAATAACTGAAAATACAACCGACTAAATCCTCGGCTACCCTCTTCACCAGCAGGACGAAAGAATACAGGCTTAAATAAGATGTGAAGGTCGATGACGTAAAAATGATGACTACCGCAACAAAATACTCAAAGCGCTAGCCGGCAGCACCTGGGGTAATAACAAGGAAACTTTGCCGGGGATGAACGAGACGTTGTTGAAGATGCTACAGGCTTGCAGGACCGCGCCCGTTATCGCTTGATATCGCCGGAGCATTGGGATGCTACCGCAGAGAACACTCCAATAGGCATCTTAGCGAAGCTGAACCTCCACTTACGCCAATCAGAAAGAGAGTATCCGACTTAAAAACCACCGTCCAGCAATACGTACAACACCCGCTGGACAGGACGGCACACAGACAGGCACGGAACGCCATTCACCAGGAGTCAGGCAACACATTCAGAGACTCCTTTTCCGTGAATGGCGTGCTAGGAGACAATGAGCACGACAACTTAGGTCTGGATACTGCAGCGGGTTAAACTCCTACTTATCCAGACTCGACCCCAGCATATCCAACGTATGCTCTGCATGTGGAGAGTCTCCGCTCGACACCAACCACCTCTTCACTTGCTTCCCTAAACCGACTCATCTGACCTACCTCTCCCTCTGATCCAATCCCGTCGGAACAGCATGTTTCCTGAACCTCCCACTAGATGACCTCGGCGACTTAGATTGATCAAACCTGTACCTAAGCGGGGTTAGCGAACCGCTACAACAACAATTTATTATGTCTGGAAAGACATTTTCAATCAGTTCATTTTTAGTTTGAACGACGGTAAAAAGCTTAGAAAATTCTTGTGCTGTTGGATCATTTTTATCAGTCTGAGTCCAGATAGTAGTAAGTCACCAGATAGTAGTAAAATAGTCCAATCGAAAAGTCTAAAGTATAAATCCTGCATAGTCCCCTTTAATCGTCAAGCGAATGCTTAAGAGCCATTGTACACTCATCGCAAATTATGATCGAAGATTTTCGTATAACTGTTGCCATTCCGTTTCTTTTTCTGATATTACACGTAGGATTTGGATTGTTATGAATATCTAATATAGCTTGAGACCATTACTTTAATTACTATCCTATCATCTAAGTTGGACCAAATAACATATATAAAAAGTTAAGTTTCTTTGAATATCAAAATAATATCTTTTATATCCGTTATTTTAATTTTTATTTAATTTAACTTTTTTGCTTTTTATTTATATCTTAGTTAATTGTTTTTTGTTTTATTTAGCTTTCTTATAATTATATTATATTTTTTTGTTTAGTTTTATTTAATTTTTCTTATTTTGTTTCTTTTAATTATTTCCATTTTAATCATATGAATTTGATTTAATTTGATATTAATTTACTTAATTTTGTTTTATTTTGCTTGCTTAATTTTAATTTGAAGTTAAGTTTTATTTTCAATTTTATTTAATTTTTTTTTCATTTAATTTCATTTTCTCGTGCTTAAGTTGATTTCTTGTTAATTTATTTTTATCTCTAAAGCTACTTATATTATTGAATTAGTTTAAAGGAAATATGAAATTGCTAAATATTTTCTTTTAAATTAATAAATTTTTGGTTTTTTCCACATAATTCTGTATTATGGAATTTATTTAGATTAGATTTTTTATTTTATTTTTATTTCATATTGACTTGTTTATTTTATTTGATCAGATTTCCTGTTTTTATTTTGGTGTATTTTCTCATCAATATTTTGATTTAATTATTATTTATTTTGATTCATTTTATTTCATTTGATTTTATTTCGTTTTCTTTTTTTATTTTATTTTGTTTTGTTTTAATTTATTTTATGACATTTTGTTATAAATTACCTCATTTTCCTAATTTAATGCGTTGTTGTTTTATTTAATTTTAATTTATTTATTTTTTATTTTTTAAATTATTTTAATTAATTTCATTTTAGCTTCAATATTTGTTTTAATTTTTATTATATTTATTTTTAATTAAAATTATATTGTTTTTTTAATATGTTTTTTTTTGCATATTTTGTTATTTTTTTCACTTAATTTTATTTTAATTTTTATTTATTTAGTTTTTCTTAAATTTTTGTTTTTATTAAATTTTAGTTTACATCAATTTTCAATTTAATTTTAATATTAGTTTTTATTTTAATTTTGATTTTAATTTTTATTTTTATTTTAAAATATTTCTTATTTAATTTTAAATTTATGTTTAATTTTATTTTCAATTATTATTTTAATTTTAGTTTTTTCTTATTTTTTTTATAAATATAATTTTAATATTAGTTTTTATTTTAATTGTAATTTTAATTTTAATTTTTTCTCATTTTATTTTTAAATTTAATTTTAATATTAATTACAATTCTTATTTACATTTAAATTTTTTTTTTGATTTTATATATATTGTATTTTATACTATTTAATTTTATATCTTTTAATTTATTTTAATTTACTTCATTTAATTGAAGATTATTTTCTTTTATTTGTTTAAGGTTTTTTTGTTCGAATAAATTCTATTTTATTTTTTTATACTATCTCAATTCATTTAATTGTGTTTAAATCAATAGATGAAAATTACAACGTGATTTATCGTTTATTAGGGTTTTTTCTGAATATGTTTTAAACAAATCTTTTTTTAAAATAACGTTATCTCATTTTGGTTTAAAAATTAACATGTAATTTTGCAACTAGTAATTTTTTAACTAGTATAAGGCCAGTGTATACCTTACAGACCAATCAAAATTTCCATTTTCACGAAGAGTGAGCTCCATGTTGGAAATACGAGTTGCCTGTATGACGAAAAGACATTTGGTGAGTTGGGTAGCTTACCTTGCGTATTAGTAGTCGAAGTAGTTTCGAAATAGTTTCTAACTAGTTCTTTTAACTACAGAGCTTACATAACATGTATAAATATCTATATAAACAACCGTGTATCTTTCGGTGTGTGGTGTTTAGCAATTTTTGTTTTGTCAATAATTTTTGCCTTGCTTCTATCATTCTTGTATCGGCATTTCCTCTTAATAAAGTCAAACAAACTTGCCGTCCTACCTTAACTCATTTGACGGTGTATTATGAGTAGAAAAGGGGAAATTTGTTCTACTTGCTGAACTTTGCTTTTGCTATTGTTGCAGCTCTTTTTGTTTTTGTTTTAAATTTTTTATTTGCGAAATTCCATGGAAACAGTTCAACTTTGTTTATTTTGTTGCAAAAGTAGGTTTCTCATTTGGATATTTTGGACTGTGAAGGAATTTTTCTGAAATACAAACATTGAAATATTAGGAAATGGGTAAGTTTTGAAGGATTTTAACAATAAAAAATGTATAGTTTGTGTTTCTAAAGTTGAAAGGACTACAGTTTTGTGCAAATATTATGTGAGTGTTTAAAGTAATGAGTACAATTAGCACTCTTCGTGGAACCGCGACATCGATCTTATGTGATAAATAATTCTATTAAAATTAAAGTATAAAGCTCAGAAATTTACTTATACTTTTTATACTGCAAAGCAGAAGTATTCAAGAAATATCGGTTCAGTGTGGCAAACGCAAGTCAGTTCATAAGAAATTTTCTCCCCCAGGCAACTTCTACTTTGGGAATTCAGTAAAATCCTATGGTTTAATGCCTGAACAGCAATCGATCAAAACAATGCTCAGTCTGATCTGAGAAAGATAAGGAGCTTTCCTATCAGTTATCAGCAATGCGGTTACTAATGATTTTAATATGATAAAGTTTATTGTGTCTAAGCTTGAGGAGAAGAAGTGAGAGAATGTTGCGGAGTTAGCAGATACAATATGTTTATAGGCCGTAAGCGAGAGAGATGAGCTTCCTCTGTTGAATTAGTCATGGTGAATGGGGAACGTTCCATGTAGCTTTCGAATATTTACCAAGCACCCGAGCTTAGTGTCTAATATACACTCACAATCAGCGGAAGATACGGCACTCGTTAAGGCCGTGTTTCATGATTTCGTCTCTTCTGCTCTGCACTCAGCTGATTGTACCTGGCATGGTTTTTAAAGTGTATCCGCGAGATCCAAGACCCAAGTGATATTCACTATTATCTCTTGCCCTCAAAGCAATTAGTATATCGCTTCTTTAATAGTAAGATCCCCCTTCATAGAATGGAAGTCTAAGCATCGTGTTGATGTAGCCCTAACCAACCATTCTATAAAACTTCGTTTCATATGTAAATAAGTTTAATTATATTTCCATTCGGTGACACTCTGGTCCCTGCTGTTCTTTCGGTGAGAAATTATGATGAAGAAGGGATTAAGTCGAGTCACTCGATAATAGTGGAGTGTTTTTTGCTCTAAACCACCAAATGTAAAAACACCTTAGACGATTTCTAGCTCTTACAGGTGTAGATCTAGCCGCTCAAGCTATGAACATATTAATGTACTTATCTGTTGGGTTATAGAGAGTATTCTAGTTATTACCTCTGAAAAGGAGGGGGAGCACACCAACTTTATGTATTCCCCTAGAGTTCTGTCTTTTTAATACTCCTCTGACTGCTTTTCATGCGCTGAGTAGGTGTCCCAGCATTACTCAATCGCGTCAATGGGGGTAAGTAATCTGCACAAAATTCCCCAGTGATCCTTATGAAATAGTGGTTCCAACTAAGGAGTCCGAATTAAGGAGAATTTTCAGAAGTCCCTCACTGTTTCTAGTCCATTTTCCGCTACTTCTCTTAAATAATCTATTTAAGTAAGGCTAGCAATCAGCCAGATCTGCAAGGCTTCCATATGTCCTCAGGTATTTTGTTTCTTGATCTCGATACCCAGAGCCACTTAAGGAAACATTGCTAAAAAATGGTCTGTTCGATGTTCACAGTTCCAACAACCTTGTCGTCTACCAGCATAGTACGCCTCTGGCCTTAAGAGGTTTTAAAAGCTAACAGTTCTAAAGAGCGCTAAACTTCAGCAAGATCATCCATCGAAGCGACTGGTAGAGCTAAGTAAAGTTTTCCGTAGTAGAGTGCCGCGTCTTTGCTCCACAGATTCCGTCCGAATAAAATTGTTTTACCCATTATAAAAGACCAGTTCGAAAGTAGCCGTGTTGAGCTCAAACACCTATTTCCTGGTGCCAACAATAAGGGCAAAGAAATTTTAGAATAAATTTAGAAAGTGACTCTACACATAAATGAGCGGTTTCTTGAAGTGTTTGCATCCTCCAGAAAACTTCAGGTGATCGATACATCGCCATCAGCGCTCGCAAAAGTCAAGAGAGCTGGATACGGCTGGCTGGGTGTACTTTCTCTGACAACGCCTTAACAAAACTTTAGGCTGAGGTTTTTAACCCTATAGGGTAGTCGGAAGTGCCTTGAGCCCTACCTAACTTGAGTATCCGACACTTTGGGTCTTTTTATTCCTTATAATTGTTGGAGTACTATTTTGAAAATTTTTTTGATTGTTTCGGTTCAAATAGACAGACAAATAAGCTTCATCGTCAAGCTCATTTTTAACATTGTGGAGATGGCAGCGCTCATGTACACGTTCCAGGTGCTTATAAAAAGCATCTTTGGTCACATGGTCTTTCTCCTCCGCTGGGACGTGGGTGCAAATCAGCGATATGTGGTGTGACGTTGATCCACCGGATTGAATGCTCACACTCCGTCACTGAGTCCCACTCTCATCGCGAATCCGACAGCGAATTTTCATTCCTTTCTATGGCTGCTGTAGTAAATTTCTCAAGAATCTTCTTGTCTCCGTACTTATCCCATCCATTGCATTTGTTGTATGCCGATGATGTCGGCCTCTATTTTTATGAATACAACAATCACCTGTGCAGCGAGATCTTTCAAATTATAGATTCGGATATTCCATGTGTATACCCTTAAAACGTGGTCCTTAAGACGTTTGCAGTGGTCGTCATCAATAGGAGACTGCCTCATTCGAGGCAATACAAAACTTGTCATTGGAGTAGGTTTCCACGGGGGGGGGGGGGGGGGGTTTCCCAACCCCAGCGTAAAATTTATATCACACTTATATAGCTCGCAGCTCCCTTCAAGGCCAGTGCGCGCTCGCAGCCACATCTCTGGTGAACAGATACCGCAATTAGACTTCAGCAAAACCTTAAACCGCGCAAGGTGTCACACGAGTTAGTTACCGCATCTTGCACAAGGGTTGCTCACGTTTCCAGGGTGTGCGACATAGGAGGTGAGCATAGCCACGCGACTGTAACTCTATACCCAGACAGTACATTAAGCTCTGCAATCTTTAAGCTTAAACGTACATCTATAAGCACAGGAGAGGGTCTTTGAGTTTCACTTAGCATGCCCTCAATTCAAAAGAATTGGTTTTTGTTTGATTTAATTAACTGTTAAACTTTGCTAATTAATTCAAACACTTCTAAAACACTTCGAAAAACCGGCATTTTCTTAAACACAATACCAATACCACTTCCGACGGATGTTTTCACACTCAAAAGGATAAGCTGCAAGTTATTTTAATGATATCCTTCGGCTGCCATTAAAATTATTCACACACGAAAAGAATAACTGTAAGAGTTTTACTTGACTAGTGTTAGTAACAGGCACAACGCGATGTCTGGTGTTAATGTTTGGTAAAGAAGTTTCGAAACTATGACGGTGTGAAACCAAACAACACAATTCGCCCTGCACCTTGGGAAGAGAGAAGAGAGAAGAGGAGTCTAGGCAAATAACCTTATTAAATGGTTTGGTAAGTTCAACATTGGAATATTTAGAGATATGTGTACGCATACATGAACATACTCGTTTTTATGTATGTAAGTACACGCTCAAAAATTGTTCTGACTTTGAGAAGCTTGCGAATGATGGTGCAGCGAAGCGCAAGTAAATTTACAAAATGCCAGGTCTTGGTTTTTTTGATAAAAATATTGAAGAAGTAATTTTTTTAATTGTCTATCATTAAGACTTGCCCTAGTTTTTTGAACTGAAACTGAGGACGTATTTTTACTCTTCAATTCGAGTAATGTCAATTTCACAAGAACGCTACGAGGTAGAATACAACGGTCCCTTTGTCAACGGATGAGCAAAAATTGTCTGCAAACAGAGTTTGAGATTTCTCGTTACGATTTGTTAGATGAAAAGCGACCTCATCATCTATGTCGCTCCCCATAATAACATTTTGTTGCTGGGTTCCAGTGGTAGATAGAATACGTTGTAGCAGCCACTTTATCCACTACTTCCCTGCGCTTGGCTATCAACGTATATGTTGGCTGTTTCTAATATCGTTCCCTTGAGTGTTGGTGAGCTCAGCAAAGGAAAGACCTTACTGCGAGGAAGTTTGTATTAAAACTACTCTGCAGCAATCCGACAGCTGAGGCATTAATTGAAGTAGAGCTCAGCGCTATAGAATCCAGAGTCGACGCAAACCGCCATTTTTGTTCCGTTAACAGACTCCACTATTCTACACCGATCCGCTACGTTGTAGTCTAGTTCCAGTTGAATGGCGTAGATATGTCGTCTGTTTTGTGAAACCTTTCCTTGCTTATTGAGCTATATCCAAAGATTTTGTCAACGTATCTCGCTGCGATACTTTCCAGCGCAATGTTGATTAGCGGCTGGTCGAATAATCTTTCGAATGCTGTCCTTGGAGTAGCTGTTTGATATAGATTGTAGTACGATTTGAGCGCCCTCGTTACACCACACCAAAGCATTTTGAGTTGAGCTTGGTTTGATCTCCGCTATCTACGTTGTAGAACTGACTGCGCTCACGATAGACTACTTTCGCAACATACATAGTACCCCCTTTTGCATGTGTAAAAGATATTACTGACTTTTTAAAACTCTCCACTTGCCTTTTACTATCACCAGGTGTTTGCTTGCAAGGGTTAAAGCAATAAAAATTCGGAAAATGAAAAGTACGTTACCGTTACACACATATATTTAGTTTAAAAAAATTGACAAGCTTTTTTTATAAATCACCGAGTAAGCATTTTATCGGTCGCGAACTAGTATGAAACTGGTATATTTCTGAACAGAAGCTGTTAATTATTTACTCATGGTATAATTCTGTTTTGAAAACACCATTTGCTCTCTTGGATAAGAAGCATTTACCTAATTAGGTGAACTTGCTTGGCATACTAGTCTCAAAGTAGTTATTGACTAGTTCATTCGATTCCATACAGTCGCGTAAACATTTGAACATCCACGTGAATGCTTGCCGTTCGCTAGGTGTGCACAAACAAACTAACGAAAGTTTTATTCCGCCGATGGAATCAACAAATTAATAGTATTATTCAAGCAGACGAATTGCATACTTTTAGGCAGTAAACGAGTAATCAGTGAGTTAAGGCATATGTGAGTAATCTCTGTATGTACATATATGCAACATTTGACGGAGAGGTGTGAGTGTAAGCTAATAAAATCATTTACTTTTGCTGTCATTCAATAGTCACGCGATACACCAATGTCTTCATATGGAAAAAATGGCATGCGATTTAGTGCAGAAGAGAGTATAAAACCTTAAAGTAATAGGCATATTGAATAGTTAGGCAGACGGCAAGTACGTATGTAGGCATGAGTGTGCATGAGTGTGAGAGAGGTGAGTTGTGAGTGTTTCTAAAGCAGTGAGCAGAGCCAGACAGGTCGTTAGTATGTTGATTAGGCGGAAAGAATTGTAGGCTGGCGCGACTTGGTCATAAAGGAAGTTAGATATCAATCAAGTGAAAATACCGATACAATAGGCAAATTCAAATATTTATGCTTAAATGCATGGCACAGCAACTGCATGTGAGGGTATTTTGTATGTACAGGTATGTGTGGCTGCCTTTTATTATTGTTGTCTGATGTCTGTTGTCATTATTGCATGATTGACGCGCATTTAGAGTGCGCTGTTTGAATGATTTTTCCCAATTTTTATGAGATTTTTTGTTTTGTTTATTTATGCTTTCACATACGAAACACTTGCATAGTTGTTGTAATTTATTACTATTTCTTACATCGTTCCAACATTTCACTCCCGTGGTGGTAACACAAACAGCTTCAAGTGTGAAGAAGGTGTCGTCAGCTGCTGGTGGTGGTGGTGGTGGTGGTGGTGCCAGTGGTGGCGCCATAAACAATAAGAAAACAAATGGCAACGGTGGTAACGGCCCTATACGCCGCTCGCCAACTGCTGAGCAACCGTCTAATGGCGCACAACAGCCCGCCAACGCTGCCGCCGCTGGCAAAGGTAAATCACCGGGCTCTGCGTCGGGCGGTAAAGAGAAATCGGCATTACTTACCAGCAAATGTATATTGAGGACGATCACCGCATTCTTGGCGAGCAACAAACGCAACTCCTACAATGCGCAGTTACGCGCCAAACAGATGAGTCGGCGACGTCGTCAGCGCAAGATGGACGAGTTGAGCGGTAAAATTAATCCCAAAATGTTGGAGCAATTGCGTAAAAAAACGAAATTTACCAAGTGAGTGCGAGTGCAAAAATAAATGTATTTTGATTTTAATATATAATGCTTAATATTTATTAAAATATAAAAGTAAAATATTTTTTTTTAATCAAAAAGAAAGTTCCAAAAATTGTGCTTGCATTTAAATATGTAAATTACAAAAAAGAAAAAAAAAAAATATGTGCAGTTGTAAAAGTCATCCTTGGCATGCAAAAAGTTTGTCTACTTCAATATTTAAGTGATTTCGTGACATGTCGTATGAGTAACTTTTAATTACTGCTTATAAATATGTAGTTGTTGTTAAGTTAGTAACGTATACGCCCCGACGCCGCAAACTTCTTGCAAACAATTTAAAGTTTTTCCCAAGACATGGTGCTTAATTGATGGCAATTACAGTTAAAAGGACTTAAAGATTCAGCATAAACTAAGCTTGAAGAAAGAAGGAAGTGAGAAGGAAGTGCTGTCTTCGGTCATGCCGAACTTTTTGCACCTTTCATGACCATATTAAATTCATGGTATTTCATTTTGGAATTAAATATTAATTTGCATATCTGGAAAATTGAACTTTTCCGGAAAATGTTCCTGTGAAGTTGTCACCTGTCCGAAAAATTAAATTGCGAAAAAATCTTTTTTATGGTACGGTGTAAACAGGTAACTCATTGCGTTGTCTAAGTTAAGATAAATACCATTTTTCTTCCGGAAAATGAACCTGGAACTCAGTTGAGATTAGTAAATGCAGCTGCTGGTCACATTCGCCAATAGGCCATTTGTGATAACGCTGTGAGGCTCCAGTCTTCAACTTCTCAAATTATAGACCGTTTCGTGTGCTCTATAAAGGCAAATAAGTTTTCGCAGTCCTAGTAGTGTTTCCTAAAGAATTTTCGTCGCGTAGTTGGACTGGATAGGGAGGTGGCGTTCAATAGACTCTTCCTCTTCTTCGTCCCTGCTGCTGCGGAAAAAATCATTTCAGTGGTGGGCCTATTAAACAGTGGCCAGTTATTATGCCTATCGTCATTTTAATGGAGAATCGGCATAGAAGGGAAATTGTTTTGATTTTATCGCGTCCAAATTTCACTGTGTATCAGCAAAATTATTCCCCAAAGTACTTTTTGGGGAATGTTGCGGGAGTGACAGTCCTTGGCTGGATAAAAGTCCGGGTCGTTCCGGTATAAAGACCCGACGACTCCGCGGGAACTATTGGATTTTAGTCGCCTCTTACGACAGGCATGCCTTACCGCGTTTAAATTCTTGAGCCCCTAACGGGTCTGTGGCTTTCTGATCGTGGGTATTGGTGTTTTCCCATTAATTAGTTTTTTTAATTCTTGTGAAGAAAATATTGTCGAAACACATACGGGAAGTGGTGTAGGCCAGCGAGGGATAATATTTTAGCGTGTCTTTATGGCAGTTCTGCCAAGGTTGTGTTGCAATCAATTTAGCCACGTTGCAGTTCGCTTGTAATTGCCCGTATAAGTCCAGCTGAAGGAAGTTATGAAGAGTGTTTGGCAGTGTCTCTGTTATCAGAATAACCACAGGAAGTAATCTTCTCCAGTGCCGACCATCACGGTGACTTCGTAGTGTACGATTGGTCTAACTATCGATGTATACATCCAGTACCCGATATTCGATCGTAATCCCCATCCCGCCTACAGTTGAGTTTGATAACTGAGATTATTCCGAGAGCTATTTGACTTCGGTAGAATTTAACTCAATCCAAAACCCTCTTCATTTCAGAGGTCCAAAACTGCACATAAACACTGTCGTAAGCGCTGTAGCCGTGAGCATTTTCAGAGCTGGTCATGTCAAATTGATTGTGCCGCATTTAAAAAATCCCGCTCTTCTATCGGATTTCTGCAAGTACAACCGAAGACAGTTTTTTTTATTCAACTGTTCCACATGTCTTCATGTCTTTTCGGGACAATAGTCACTTCTACTCCCGGTTATATTACTTGGTGGACGACTGGTCAAGGGTTAATTGTCTCATAGCAATGAAATATCGAGTTTATACTAACTTTGACATTACAATCTTCTTGTTCTACGGACTTAAAAACACTTCCTCGTATCTACAACTCATCATCTCATACCACATTGCCATGCTCACATTGTCACAATTGAGTCTCTTGACATTTCAATAAAAAGATGAATTCTTTGTATTCGAACTTAGTGCTCAGCACCATCAGCCATATTTCAAGGTGCTCAGCTTTCGAGGTAGATTCAAAAGGCTGAATATTCTGTTTTGCCTTTTATATGCTTCCCTTTTTTGTCCACCCTTATGCTGAAATATTATAGAAGGATTTATGCTAAATTAAATCAATGTCGTCCCAAAAGCCGAGTGGTAACAATGCGTGGGCTAGACCCAACCCTTCCCAGTATATTTCTAACAAGAAAAAAAATCCTAATGAAAATCCATCAGCCGTTCGAAGCCGACTAAGAAACAAACCGTAAGCCCGTCCATTTGTTGAAGTAATAACAAGATGTACTTCACAAATTGGTTACACAGGTCTCACAGGACTAAGGGAAATCCAAGTATATTTCCTTAAAAGCGAGTCAAGACAGAGTCAGTCGGAGCATCGTGTAGAGAGCTAGTGATGAAATCAGTTTAACTTGTCGCAATTGCCGAGTGAGAGTCTAAGATAGCAGACCCCAAGGCCTTCACTTTATTATCTTCTTTATTTATCTTCTAATTGAGATTGAGATGAGGTTTTGAGCTTTTCTTCTTCCTATGTTTAACCCAAGTGAAATTCAATTTTCTATTTTAACCCTCTAGAATAGTATATAGCTTAGGGCTTATCTCAGAAAATAGAACTTCAACGCAGGCGGCAATTAAGCTTTCCGATTTGTAGCAAAACGAGTGTTGCATTCTAAAAACTGACAACTTTTTTGTAAAGTTTGACATTTTTTTCGTTATACTTACTCAGAACTTTTCACATTACAGTAACTTTAAACACTCATCTCAACTAAAATATGGTATGACATCTTGAAGAGTTTCGCGCGACTATTTTTTACAACTTTCGATGTGAATTAACTCAGGAACAGTGCACCGATGAGCCTAATTAAAAATTTTCGATGGTATGGTACCCAGGTACGGGTTAGAGTCTCAATAATTTACCCATGGTAAGGCATTCCTGTCGTATGAGGAGACTAAAACCCAATAATTCCTGCAACAATCGGGTCTCACACCACAACAAACCGAATTTTTATCCGATCAAGGACTATCACTCCGTAATATTCCACGAAAACCAATACGATTACAACAACAATAATATCGATGATATGGTGAATTCAATCGAGGTCGTAGATCACTCCTAGACGAATTTCGAGAAGGTAAACCAAAATCAGTTGTTGTTCCGAAAACTGTTAATGCTGTGTGCAAACTGATATTGCAAGATCGTTATCTATTGTGAGATTTAGACCACAGAAGGCATTAGTGAGAACAGCATACATTCAATATTGCTTGAAAAAATGTAATAAATAATTATTCAAGTTGGATCCTACAAAATTTACCAATCGTTCAAAGAATGGCTCGTGTCTCGGTTGGTCGAGATAAATGTTAAAATAATACGAGAGCAGTATTTCTAAACACGTACGACAGCTGTTGAATCGTGGTTTTACCCGCATGAACTCGAAGGTAAACATCAGTCGACTGTATGGGGGTTTAAGGTTAAGCCGAATCCAACAAATGCTGTCTGCGCACGAGTGGTACACAACCATTATTTTGCCAGTTGTCTGTCAAGAAATCAAGAAAACCAACCGCCGAAGATGAATCAGTCTTCATCACAACAATGCGAGCTCTCAAAAATTGACTGAAGCAACTGGATTTTGGAGCGCTCAAAAGATCGATTGGATGAATCCTGGCAGAGAATGACTTCATATATCGCCACATTAAGATGCGTTGTGAACGCATGTTTTCAAAATCTTTCAATCAGAGTGGCAAAAGTGATTCGACAATTGGTTCAAGCTTTACATGCGCTGATCTTAAATCTTTAAATCTTTGAAAAACTAGAAATCTATTGTATTTTCTTTGATTAATATTTGTTAAAATCTCCAGAACGAAATTTCGCGAACCATTTCTTTACTGTGCGGAGTGCTGGAGCACGGTCCAAATAAACTTCGCGAATATCTTTAGTTGCAGCGCCTACTGTTTTTCCTTTGCGGAATTCGTATAACATAATATGACGCATATGATCTTTTTCGTTGTCCATCTTCCATGTGTCTTTTCACTAAGCAACTCAAATCAAAATTAAGTTATTTTATGCTTGTTCGGACTGTCACCTTTCCAACGATATGTAATATCTATATATTTCATTCACGGGCGCCACTCTCAAACAATTCGAACGGCATGCAGCGGAATCGGGCACGAACTTATGCACACATCCAACATTTTCTTTGATTAATATTTGTTTTTGTGTTCTAAAAGCAAAATATATAAGGAAACCCTCATATCATAGTGTTCTGAGATGTATTTAAATTACGTAAAAGTTTTTTTTTATATATTTAACTGAATTTCATTGTCTTAATATTCTCAGAGATGAATTGGATGCTTTGTGTCGTATTTACCGCAAACTAATTTCAAATTGTCAATACGCCGCTAAAACCTTAGCCACTGGCAGCTCCAGTGCAGCAATAGTGAAGCCACATGCCGCAGTAGAGGTAAGTTTGGTTAATAAGAAAATTTATTTAATTATATGCATGAATTATGAATAATATTTATTGTAAAAACTTTTTGGCATAAATTGAAATTTTCCAGTAATTTTTTTTTTTTGTTTTTACTTGACAGGGCATCGATCGCATTGTCTTCCGCGAACTACTCCACAGCACCTTCGATATAGTTACCGAGGAAATACTTATGGAACGCATATTTTGTTGTTGGGATCGCGCACACGAAGGGCTGCCCTTGCGCTTGGAAGGTTGGCTGACGGGTTTGTCGATATTCCTACGTGGCTCTCTGGCGGAGCGCGCAAACTTTTGCTTTCGCGTTTACGATTTGAATAGCGACGGTTTCATAACGAAAGATGAAATGTTTACGCTTTTGCGTAATTGTCTGATCAAACAGCCACAGGATGAAGATCCCGATGAGGGTGTTAAGGATTTGGTGGAGATTGTGTTGAAGAAATTCGATTTGGATAAGGATGGCAAGGTAAATGAGATTGCCTGCTTCTTCATTTAAATATGTGTTTTTTTTTTTATTTGATATTGACCAGAGCTAGGGCTCGAGTACTGGTCCGACCAACATCTAAAATTGAAAGAAAACTAATTTAAATAAAAAATAAATTAATTTTTTTAATTGCGATCACCTTTTTCGGGGAATGTCGAGCCCTCTAATTGTATTTCTGACATGAAATAAAGGCTTCTCACAAAGAACCAACGGAATTCCGGAGGGTCACGGCATTTATTATAAAAAGATCTCAACAAAAATTGTAGGAAGACCCCGGCGCCACATATTATACATATGTATATATTTCTATATTTTTTTTTAGTTGTTTATGTAACAAATTTACTTACTTCAATTATTATTAATTTTTTTTTTTAATTTTACAGGTTTCAATCGAGGACTTCATGGGCACTATTGACATTGAGCCATTGCTCTTGCAAGCTTTTGGGCAATGTCTACCATCCGAAACGGCAACTGTTTCGTTTTTTTCCACTTTACAAATTTAAGAAAAAAATATTATGAAGTAAAATGCACCAAGATATCCGTTATATAATTAAAATTTATCAATAAACTCACATTTGCATACATTCATTAAGACCAGAAAGTTTCAGGAAATTGCCTTTTGAGCTGCCTTTGCTGAATAGTTTCAAAAATTTTTATTTTGCCCTTAACTACTATATCAAAAATGATCGCGCTCTGTCAACCAGTTTGTTTGCAGCAGCTGTTGCAATCCGACGATCTCAGTTCCCTCTATCAATTTTCTTTGACGGCCTCAATCGAGTCTAATCGGGTTCCACGGAGTTGTAACTGGTTTTGTTGACCCACAATCTCTGCCGTTTACGACGGATTTTTTTAGCGCAACGCCGTCTGTCCCGTTGGAACGAGTTCTTGATGTACCAAACTGTGAATTTTGAAAGAAAAACAATTTACGGCAACTTTCTGTTCTTATTATAAGTACAAAAGAAGTCTTGTAAGCAAAATTTCTTTAAAAACCTACGAAAAACTATTTTTCCTACCATAATTTAAACCATTAAACCACCTATTGCTTTTTGAACCACCCTAATGTGTATTGTTTATTATTTTATAAGCTGCAATTATATTTTAATTACCTATCCATTTAGTGTCGGGCAACAGTTAACTCGTCTACTAAATTTTGATTTATTGGTAGGCTTTTATGATTTTTTGTTCGAACTTTGACCTGGTTTTTGTTGCAAGATAAAAATTAACAAAATACATAACTTATTCATATTGTAACACTAAAATTGATAATTGTTTTTACTGGTAAATGTAGTCGTATGTATGTAAGTACCTTTGCTCTACAAACATTAGCTCTGTTCGGTGAGCTGATCGCAAGTAACAGTGATTACCGAATTCGACTGAATCGCGCTCGGTGAGGTAAAAAAGTTGCAAATTCGTGCTGGGAAAATTTCAGGCAGTAAAAAGAAGCAGGTATTAAAAACAGCTGATTTGTGATCACAAGGAGCATTTCCGTTTACAAACAAAATCCATTTCAAATGAAAATACTATCAATAATCACATTAATCGTAAAATTTCTATCGTTTCGGTTGAAATATTTGAAAATAAAGACGATAAATCAGTTATCAAAACAAGTTTCTGTTCGGTTTCACCCGAAAGCGATGAAGCACGAAGAAAAAAAATGTTTAGTTAATTTTGCCGGCTTCCTCCGAAAAAAAATCCAAAACCCATTTTTTTTTTTTAATTTTTACTGAAAATCGAAAAAATACTGAAAACTAGAAAAAAAAATATGTATAAATGAGTATCTATTTTCCAATAAAATAAAAACAAATAACTCAGGTATTCTAAATTAAGATGGCTAGATGCATGACACTACTGACTATAATTTTTCGGCGATTTCGGGATTCAAACGCTCCAATAATAATATATAATACTCATCATTGATAATATTTCATTTCGCACAGTCTGTAATCGATGAATATTAACCACGCACATCCCAAAAAAACTTAAGCGTAAACTGTCCAACCGGTTGATGTGCTTTCGGGAGCTTTGAACGAGATGCATTTGGAGCAGTGCAATGAGTTGACGATCGTTTTGATTTTAAAGAAGTTTTAAAAACTAAAAATAAATATTTTCATTCTTATCTCGACTATTTGTGAAGAAGAAAAAATGAAAATAAAATAGGAAATAATATAAAAAAATAAAATAAAATAAAATAAAATAAAATAAAATAAAATAAAATAAAATAAAATAAAATAAAATAAAATAAAATAAAATAAAATAAAATAAAAAAAAAAAAAAAAATAAAATAAATTAAAATGAAGCAAAATAAATTAAAATAAAGTAAATTGAAAAAAATAGAATAATATAAATTAAAATACCAAAAATAAAATAAAGTAAAATAAAAAAATATAAAAAATAAAACAAAACAAAATAAGATGAAATAAAATATATATAAATCAAGAAAAAAAAGATATGAAACATATAACTGTTTTGTTTTGTATTCCTGTTGTACAAAGCCCATTGAAATTGCACTAAAGTATTCCGAATTTTGATTATTACAAAACGTGTACAGCCAAACACTAATTTTTAAGTAACCTTAAATCCGTTCAAATATACAGCATCTATTTATACCAATGAATTCTCAACACACCTTATCCAGTGGCCGAAAAGTGAACTCCGTGTCATCACCACCGAACCATTAACCCCAATCTCAGTGGCATTACCGCATGCGTCATGCAAGGTAATAAGCATATGTCTGACCGGGGCAACACAACCATTCAATAGCAGAGCAACTACAATGCATTTTAGATATAAACATATCTATATACATAGGTATTGGCGTGAACAAAGTGACGCGCGGTTAAAAACAAAACAAAAAATTAAAAACAAAAAGATCAACAGTTCGCAGGTTAACACGTCAGGGTGTAAATATATGTACATACATACATGTATATGTACTTAAATTATGTAACAATGTAGGCGCAAGAATTTCCGTGGCAAAAAAACATGATTTATTTGTTTTCATCTCTTTTTTTTATGAATTTATTAAAATGTAAATGAAAATTGAAATTGAAATTAATTTGAGCTTTGCTTATGTACACACATGCATACTTACATATCATACATATACATTTACGTACACTTACTTTTGCATTATTCATTACTTTGTATGTAAAATTATTCCATATTTCACCTTAGAACTATTTTGCATACTTACGAGTACATACATATATCACACCAACAACATGCACTTAGAGACTCCTCAAGCTCCCTAACTAATAAGCATAGCTTGAGGTGTCATCTTTGTCGACTGTGAAAGTAAATTCTTTTTTCTTATTGTTTTTATTATTCCTCATCACCGTCAACACATCAATCCAATCAAAACAAGCGGCGTCACATCAATTTGTTTCAAAATTAAGTACTTAAGTATGTACATATGTATGTATGTATGTACGAATGTATGTATGTATATGCAACATGTGTTCCTAGTATGAGCAACATCAGGGACTTTGATCGCTCCGATTAGTGACCACTTGTTGTTTGGTGCATTAACAACAACAACAACGTGGGCAATAAAAAGTAATATAAAAACAATAAAAAAGCATTAAAATTAAAAAACAAAAACGGTATTTTTCGCTGCATCAAACCAGATTCAATTTGTAAAATATATTTTCGTAAGGTGTGAATAATCTAGAATAAAAAGCACACACACATACATATGTATTTATGTATTACATAATGCGCAGCGTGTACTTGAAATTAACTGTAAAATGTTTGAGGAGATTTCAATATTTAATAGTGAATATCATTTATTTTTCTTCTTCATTGGCGTAAACATCGCTTATGCCAGTACAGCCGAGTCAACAAGAAAGTGTTGTTGTTGTTATAACCTAAAAAATATTCCTCAATATAATTTTTGGGAGTTTTGAGTTAGTGAAAGTACTTTGCCGGATAAAAGATCCGGGTCGTTCCGGTACTAAGACCCGACAGTCGCGGGAGCTATGGGATTGTAGTTGTCTCTTAAGACAGGCATGCCTTACCGCGTGTTCTTGAACCTCTAAACCGCAGGGGAGAACAACAACAGAGCGCGTCACTCCTCTCGCTTTTTGGAGCCAATTGGAAAGCCAAGTACAGCCAGACCCATCTTGACTTGATCCTTCCAACAGAGTGGACATCTTCCTCTTCCTCTGCTTCCATCAGTGGGTACTGCATCGAATACTTTTAAAGCTAGAGTGCTTTTATCCATTCGGACGATATCAACTCGCCAGCGTTGCCACTATCTCTTTATTCGCTGAACTATGTTCATGCCGACGTATACCTCGTACAGCTTATAATTTTATTGTCTACGGTATTCGCCCTTCCCAAATAGCAGAAAACCATAAAGCGTTCACAAACCCTCCTAGCATTGATTCATGAAAGAGATGTTGATATTGTCCACGCCTCCGCGCCATATAGCTGGACGGCGATGAAGGGCTGGCATGTAGAATTTGGGCCCTGTTCTTCTTTCTTCAATTACCTATTCGATTCAAATTAGCAACTGTTGGCAAAAGTGATTCTGTGGTCGATTTCGAAGCTGTCTGATTTGTGTATTAACACCAGCACTAGCTTGTTTCAATAACTACAACTTCAAAGCTTAACCTGTCTATAGTGACGTGGGAACCAGGGCTTGTCCGCCCTGCCTTCGATCCCGTCCATACCCATACACCTCTCTTGGTTGGCCAGTCTGGAGTAAGCAGAACCAACGGCGAGGTTGCTGATGCCGATGACATAAAGTTGTACGCTCCATAAATGTTTCGGAACATCAATCATTTTCAAGCGCAATTGAACACAAACAATTCTCTTCTCCGTTTTCCGCTTTCGATTTAAACGCAAAAAATTGCACTTAAAATAATTTTTTCCATGAAATTCCTTTTTTGTTATAAAGTTTGAACCTTGGCTTTATACAATGTGAGGTCAGTCAAATGAGCATCTCGCGTATTTTTGAAAACTTCGACCACTTCTTTGTACACATTGGGCGATATTTGAACTATATAAATAAATGGCTTCCAAGTGGTCAAGATCTAAAAGCTTAGCCGGGGGATTTGTTTCGCAATATAGTCATATTCGCTGGTGTTGTTGGGCATATGACACCATTTAGTTGAAACCTCATATCGTCCAAATCAAAACACTCCGAATTGACAGGGAATATACTCGCCTTGTCGCTTTCAAAGTAGTAAGCTTCAATAACACCTACGGAGCAAAGAGCGAAACAGACAGAAGTCTTATTGGCTATAATGGCATCTCTTCAATTATTTGAGGACACTCAGAATCCCAAAAGCGACGATTTGGCTTATTTAAGTACCCCCGAGTAAAAAATTTGCCTCGTCGCTGAAGAAAAATTCGTTCGAAAAATGGCCGTTCACTGCTTGCTGTTCAAACACCCAATCGACGTATGTACGGGGTAGTGAACGGTAAGCAGGTTGCAGTAGTAGTCTGAGCTGGACTTTATATTGATGAGTAAGAATGTGTCAGCTCTTTTTATCTCGGGTCTTCGGCTATAATATAATAAATAAGGTTGAGCGAGCAAAACGATGTTGCGCAGGCCTTACAATATCCACAACCGATCCAGCTGTATGCCTGTAATGAGCCAAAAGCCTATTTGTTTTTATGAATTAAATATATTTTTGTTTATTCAACAGAGAAAAATTCTGGAAGTAACAGCTGTTTCAGAAATCACCACATCTCCTCATCAGGCTTCTTCTGGCTTTGAAATTTTTGGTTTGAAACCACGATGTATAAGCCGAAATATGAAAATTAGAGGTACCATAGTCTGAATGCCCTAACTTTGGCTGAATTCCGTGCAGCCATTTTTAAGTTATAAGATAACACCAAAAATATTTCCAGGAAAACAATATGGAATTTTCTTATAGAAATTTTATTTAGTCGACAAAATAGCTAAAATAACTTGGACTTGGCTTTCTTAGACTTACAGGCCTATTCTGTCGAGGTAACAAAATTTACAATTCAGTAAGTTTTGTTACCATTTCGTATTCTGAGCTCACTGTTACCCTGAAAATTTTGTTACCAGCGAAATAGGAGGTAACAAAAATATCTACTGTTTGATTTTGTGTTGTAAATTTGAGAAAAAATAAAAAAACAAAATGGGTAGGCATATTTTAGACCTGGAATTCATTGAAGATGAAGAAAAAAGTGCAAAAAACCGTATTTTAAGAAGTTTTTGAGACTAAAAAATAGCTCTTTAGCTTGTAATATAACGTTTCCATTCAGCTATTTTTGTTGTCCAGGCATATTTTCCATAATTAGGTTCAAATATTTCTGATATAATAAACAAATTAATAAAACTTCTTAATTTTTTTGTGTACCGTCTTCTATTTCGATGTGAATATTTTTCTTTTTACTTTATCAACTGGCAAATGTTATTTGACATGGAGGAAAAAGCAGTGCTGCCAAATTTTTTTGAAACACCAGTTCGCCAGAATACCAAATTCAATTTCGGGTGTTGAAGAGAAGTAACAAAATTTACTTTACCGGTAACAGTGAGAATAGGCCTTTTAAAGTGAATTTTTCAAAATGTATGCATGTATATATGTATATTGATACCGATAGTTAAATCTGCAAATAATCATGACCAAACTAATTCGACACGTCATTCACAGCGATTTGATAATCATAAAATTAAGTACATTTACTAATACCAGAATTAAGAAGCAATAAGATAACTAATCAAGAAAGTTCCATTTACTATGCATATTTATTTTTAAAAACACGTACGTGTATAACAGCAAGCATACGAGGGTTGTTTTGTATATTTCTCGATTAAAGAACAGTAAAAATTTTTATTATCGAAAATAGTTTTATTGTTTTTCTAACTATACTCCATGTGAACCCGATTTTTGATTGTCAAACGCAATTGTACAATAGAAGTTCTTTCGTCACTCTGATTAAAGTATCTCCGAAACATGTTTTCTAAACGCATTAACCTTCTCTTTAGGTGTCGCAAAACGTTGACATCTTAGTTTATTTTTTACCAAGTCAGAACTATACAATGAATAACTCATCAAATAGATGTTTTCAAAGCTCAAAAAGTTTCAGTTTACCTGTTCATGAGCTCGCGTTGTCACAGTGAAGAGTGATCCGTCTTCGAAAATTGGTTTTCTGATTTGTGGAAAGAAAACTGGCAAAATTGCTTACCTTTGTTATTTTCCAAGTGTTTAGTGCGCGAACAAAGTTTGTTGGATTCGACTCTTTTTAAAAGATCCATTAAGTCGACTGATGTTTACCTTCCGGCTCATATGGGTAAATCCACGATTCATCAGCTGTCGTACGTGTTTAGAAATACTGCTCTCGTATTTATTTTAACATTTCTCCCGAACAATCGACACGAGCTCCTCTTTGAACGTTTGGTAAATTTTGTAAGATCCAACGTGAATAATTCTCTTTTACATTTTTTTCATGCAGTATGGTCTCAATCTGACGATAGATCATGATCTTGCAATATCAGTTTGCGCACAGCATCAACAGTTTTCGTAACAACAACTGATTTTGCTATACCTTCACGAAATTCGTCTTGGAGTGATCTACACCCTCGATTGAATTCACCATACCATCGATGTTATTGTTGTTGTAATCTTATTGGTTCTCGGGGACTTTTGCGGGAGTGACAGTCTTTGGTCGGATAAAATTCCGAGTTTTTCCGGTACGAGACCCGACTGTTGCGGGAACTATTGGGTTTTAGTCTCCTCATACGACAGGAATGCCATTACCACGGGAAAATTTTTGAGCCCCTCACCCGCACCCGGGTACCATACCATTGATAAACACTGGTCCCGTATAAAGTTTCATTGTCAAAAATTAAATTAACTTCATCGATGCACTATTGCTGTGATAATTCACATCAAAAATTATAAAAAATAGTGACACGAAAATCTTCGCGTTTTATTTTAAATTTTTGGCCTAGATGAGTATTTCAAGTCTCTGTAAACAACGCAAAAAGCGCTCTTATGACAAAACATTCAGAAATGTCAAACTTCACGATAAAGTTGTCAGTTGGCAGATCGCAAAAGAACGGTTGTCAAATGCCGAAATGTAAAAGGCAACCCTCGTATTTCTTCGAAATATGAAAACATTTCATCAAATACAAAGTACAGAATTTTTTGTTTAGCTTCCCAAAATGGTGTACGCGCAGATGGTGAATGACATTTCGCTTATCTCCGCATGGTGTACGTGTTCTCCACTGATCAATAGCGAAAGAAATTCTTTTCCCTTAATATGTGAGTGAACACTTGTAATGAAATACATTTACATTTTATTTTTGTAAAATTTTTTTTTTTTAATAATAAACATTTTTATAATTTTGTAAGTGCATATTAATATATTTATGCTACATACTTACATGGCATGTTTACACATATATATGTACACGAATGTATATTCCATATCCCTATCGCATTGTTGGCCGGCTTTATCAGTAACTAATAAACTTGTGCACAGCGATTAGAAAACACCGTGAAATACATTTATAGAATTCAAAACAAAACAAAACAAAAAAAAACAACAACAACAGCAACAGTGACCACTAAATAGCACAGAAGCGTGTGTGTAGATAGTTGTATATGTATGTATGTAGTAAGTATTTTTTCTGCTTTTATTTTTCTAATGCCATACGCTTCACGTCAGCAGCGCTGCAAACTTTGCTGTCAGCGACAACAAACAATTCCCTTCCAACAACTGTATTTGTATATTTTCTTATATCAGTGGACTAGCAATGAAAATCGCTTCCTATTCATATTCTAATTATACTATATACCTATAAATATGTATCTGTAAGCATAACGATGCTGCCCACCACATACGCTTACTGCGCTGCCAACTGCACTACCGCGTGCCAATCGCTACTAGACATTTCTATATGCATATATTTATATATATACAGTTATGCAGCGACGTTTGCCACTTTAATTTAGTGTTAGTGAGCTGTGCGCGCATTTCTAGATTTTCAGTTTGAATTCTGAATCGGCCGGTTGCGGTTTGTACACAATTTTGTAGCGCTTGTCTAGTGGAAGTTGTAGAAAAGGACGACGCCCGCTCGAGGAATATCCTGAAAGTGGGAATTTTTTTCTTATTTTATTTAATTTTTTTAATACACACAAAGAAAAATGGTGCAAACAACAAATTCTGTGAGGTGAGTGATAGAGTGTGTGATACATACATACATATGTACACGATTCTTGTTGCATTTGGCAAGGCTTACCAGGCGTATGAGTATTATTATTGCTTACGTCGCTGGTTGCTGGTGAAATCAACAGGTGTAAACTATTTTGCTTGTTTGGAGAAAAATCAAGAAATCTTGGGAATCCAAACAGTTGCTAGATAATAACTAAAATTATTAAATAATAATAAAATATATAGTATACACATATGTATAAATAAACATCGGCGCCAAATGAATATATTTATTTGTACGTTGTACATTCAAGCACTGTATGTATGTATGACGTATAGTATATGTTTATACAAGTGTTATTAAACAATGACTAGCGAAAGTGATATTATTTGAAGAGATTAGCTGTTTAAAAAATTAGAATGGAAATTGAAATTTGAATGTTAAGCACACGGCTGATGGAAATTTTCTTTAATTTTTTTTTTAGCATTTTTTGTAATTTTGTATAATTTTTTGTAATTTTGTTTTTGTATTTTAAGATTTTTGATGTTTTCATATTTTATTTTATTTTATTTTAATTATGATGATTGAAAATTGATCAATATTTTTATACACAACGACATTTATTTTTTATTGCCAATTTGTGGTGTGAGGGATCTAGAGTGAACTTGTTTGAGGAGGATTTATTTCATGACAGAAATCTGCGCGAAGTGTTTGACATCATTGCCTGGCCAGCTGTGACCGTAATTAGAAAAAAATATTTTATTTAAATTTTTAACCCTCAAATCGTCAAATATTTTTTACAGAGTAGTCCAATTTTTATACTCCTTTCTCTGTTGGAAAGTGTATATATAGAAATTAGTCTTATCTCACCAAATAGAAAATATATCCTTAATAGAAAAAATATTTAAACAAAGGGTTTGGGAGGGGGAGGATTACTTATTGATTTCAGCATATAATCTCGCATATCTCGTTAATACTAAGAGCGATTGATAAAATCTTCCCTTTAAATAGGTCATGCTTCAAAGGTTGTTCCCACTTAAAGTTGAAAAATAAAAGGACAGAAATTCTTACCGCAAAAAACCATCAGCCGTTCGGCGGCGGTTTGGAATAAAGTGTAGATCCCTCCATTTGCTGGAAACACATAAAGACGCGAAACCACAAATTGGAGGAGAAGCTCGGCGGAAAATCGCTTCAGCGGTTACAAAGCGCCAAGTAGAAAAATTGATTTGGCTTACGGTGAATTGCGAATTACGGAAAAGTAATAAGAAATAAGTTATGTTGTAATTAGTTCATTAGCGTCCAAAAAATTAAAAATAATTATAAAATTAAAGCTTTCTAAGAAAAAAATGATGCCGTTAAAGAACTAAAACGTAAAAAATAATAAATAATTATTTTTCTTCAATGCATAAATTCTTAAACCAGTATGAGTATACCTTAATAATTTTCAATTGGCGCCACAGACAAGAATTTCAGTTTGACTATTTTAATTTTTGCCAGAGCTGATGACAAATAAAGCTTTTAAATCAATGATGAAATAAGCAGAAAAATTCTTAGTCAAAGCATTTGGAAGTTGCTTGCTACCTATAGAGCTTCAGGATGCTGGATAACAGGCGAAATTCATTTTTTCCTTTATTCTTGCAGAAAAATCAAGTAAATTATTTGGTTAATTATAAACGTACAGATATCCGTTTAACTCGAGATTGCAAATTTTTTTACTTATTTTTCACTTTTTTCAAAGAGTTTTTGATTCAATAATTATTTTTATAACTAAATGGACATTATTTCGAAACTTTAGTAGTCGACTTACCAATAACTCGGTATTTAGAGCACTAAATATAAGGTAAAATAAAAAGTAATCCATTATTTTTGCATTGAATTGAAGGCTTCATATACCATAGTTAGAGTTATTCGATTTTAGCCAAATATGACCTCGTTTCAAATAACTTTTTGCTATTTTGAAGGTAATGTAATTATGCATCTCTCATAGAAACCCTTGTCTCTATTGGTAAAAAATCGGGTGGTAATCGAAAAAAATTCTTATTTTTTCTAATTTTTTTAAAAAGATACTAAATAAAGTATACAATTAATTTTATTTGCATATAAAAGTACAATGTATGGACAACATTTGATAAAAATTTGAATGAAAAATAGTGTAATTTAAGGCCTTGGCAGTGTCGTGAAGTAGACCGTAAACAAAAAAGTGCTTTCGCGGTAATCATGATAACTTTTTCAAGTTTTATCTGAAATCAAAAATCCAAATTTTTTCTTAAAGTAAGTGAATTTTTCATGTCCCTGAACCAAAAAAAATTAAAAATTGAATTTTTTTTTTTAGCGATTTTCACAAGAAAAACGTAGTTTTTTGCATCGAATTAGGCCAAAATGGCTTGTAAAATGAGTTGAAATCAAAGATAAAATAAATCCTTCGTTCAACTTCGACTACAAAAACATGTTTAAAAGAAGTGGGGAAAAATTGAACTCGAACGCTTCAATAGTCGTTGCGAAATTTCAACTACCGATTTCGATAAAGTGGTTTTAAGAAAAATGCGCTTAAAGTTTCGCCATCGGCCAAGCTTTGACAAAGACGGCGGGTTATAAAACTCTCTAATTTCTACAGTTTCGTCTCGATCGACTTAAAACTTGGGCAAAATATTTCTGACACTTTGTACTTTTATACGAAAAATTATCAAAAAAAAAAATGAATTTTTTGAAGTTTCAAGCTTTAATGTAACCCCTTAAGGCAAATACTTCACCAGTCAAATTGTTCGCCATAAACACGAACAGATGGTAATCGCTTGGTGCGAGGTCCGAACTATAAGGTTGATGCATAAGAACCAACTTATAAAGTTCTCGGTGCTTCTGGTGAATCACTATCGAATCTGTATGGTCTGACGTTATCTTGATGAAACGCAATTCCCTTTCAGTTAGCCAAAACTGAATGCTTCCGCGCGATTGCTTCCTTCCGAGGGCCGAATTAATAGTATATGATTCCTTGCCAATCCCACTAAACACACAAGAAAACCTTTCTGGCCATCAATATTGCTTCGGAGTTCGTTTGTGCTGGCTCACTGCTCTTAGAACACAATCGTTTGCGTTTGACGTTGCTGCAAGTGATCCACTTTTCATTATCGGTCACCTTTCGCTTCAGGAATGGACCGATTTGGATACTATTCAAGAGAGATTCGTAGATACTTTTGCTCGTTAACTCATGTGACACCCATATATCGAGCTTGTTTATGTATCCAGCCTTTCTCAAGTGGTTCCAAGCGGTTTTTTGTGCAATGTTCACCTTCTGGGCAATCGAAACAGTGCTCGCATAAGGGTCAGATTGGACGCTTTCTTTTACTTTATGGAGCGGCACGAAATCGACCAACATTTTGCATGATTGTTTGTTGCAGTAAATATCAGGATCATAAAAATTATTCACATTTTCAGCTACCTAACTCGTAGTTTCGCCAATTATATAATCACAGTCAACTGTTTGTCAGCTGCCTATGATTGGTAACTTTCTCTCTAAAGAATTCCATAGTCTTCGCTAGAGTGAGAGACAGATTGTCTTCGATAAAGTTCTCGATTCTAAACATTTCCTAAATTTTCATTGAGTAAGAAAAACAAAACAAAACACTGTTATTTATAATCTATGTGTAATATATTTATCAAATAAACTACAAAATAGATAATCTCTGAACTGCCTCCAAAAGTGTTTATAAAAAGTATAAGAAGAAGTTATAAGAAGAAATACAATACCAAAATAAAAAAGAAAAGGAAAATTAGCTGCGTAGTATGATATTTCGTTATCTCTAATCAAATGCTTGCAATGAACTTTGTTAAGAACGAGTGGAATGTGATAATCTCAAAGGAAAGATCAAAGGTGGAAAAGACTAAGAGGCGCACAAAAAAATTTTTCAGTATTTATGAAATATTATACATACATATATATATACATATATATGTATTTAATATAAATATTTGAACAAATACGGTTTTGGGTTACACTAGCCGGCTGATGTGCCTTATAAAGACCCTTTGGTCGCCTGTAGTGCTGGTTGTAGGATGAAGCCTCCTCTAGGCCTTTGAACTGAAAAGCATCGAGATATCTAAGATGAGTTCGCACTCATGCCTTCCTACTTGCACTTGTCATATGTGTCACTGCAACTGCTTGCATGAGACCAGCAGAAGCGGCTAATTATAAACTATAGGCCCCTCCATTTGTTGGATAAAACATCAAGGCGCAAAACCACCAATTTGGGAGAGAAGCTCTGCCGAAAATCGTTTCAGCGGCAGCAAAGCGCCAATTTTATATACATAATTTTTCTAATTGCGGTCTTCCCTCGGCAGGGAGTGTCAAGCTTTCCGAGTGTAGTACTGACAAGAAATGAAAGCTCTTCATACAAATCTATTGGCCGTTCGGAAATAGAGAGACCACCTATTTGCTGGAAAAACCGGGAAGGCACATACCACAAATTGTAGGAAAAACTTGACCAGAATTATAGATCGTTTTTAGCGACTTTTATATTCCCTGTACTGGCTCTCTAACAAATCAGATGGCACTTTTGGCAATTTCATCAGATGATTTGTTACCCATAATGCCTTTGTGTCCTGGAAGCCAGTATATATGCAGCAGTTTATACCCGACCGCCTGTTTACTGCTTCCCTACTGCTATTTTAAGGACTATTTCTGACGCAATAATTGTCGCCTAACTCTCGACATATGCCATATGTTGATAATTAGAAGACAGTTTTCCGCGTTGCTAGTTGTCTTAATAGCTTTCCCTATAGCGAAGCCCTCCGCCTGAAAAATACTGCAATACTCTAGAAGCCATTTTTTATCCATCCATGTACGAGGTCTGATCAGAAAATATCCGTTATTTTCAAATTTCGTAAGTCTGTTATGTTCGATTGCCGCTTTTTCTCTGTTGTCTTGATCCACGTGGATTGGATTGTCAGTTTGTTTTCGACAGATCAAGAGGTTAGTCGTGTTTTGTTGTGCTTTTCGATTTTATAGTATTCGAAATAATGTG